CAACAAAGTCTTATTCTACTGTAATAACGGTAATAAATTCAATTACATTAATAACACTAGACTAATTTCATCCTAAAATTATGAAAGAAATCGTATTATCAATAATCTATAATCTATTAAATACCATATGAAGTGAGAATCATTTTTGGACGATTATCGCATTACTATAATTCAATTATTTCAACAATATCTTATTCTTCGTTTTTCAATATGTATTTAATTTATAAACTGTAATAAATACTATAATTAATTATCTAACATTCACATTCATTTAATTAATATTAATTAAAATTTCACATTCACGTCTATATCCTTGTTATTAACAATTAATTAACGTTCACATTTATTTAATTAATATTAATTAAAATTTCACATTCAAGAATGCAGTTCATTATTCATGATCATGTATGTTAATTAACATCCATGTTCATTTAATTAAAAATTAAATTATATTAATTTAATATAAATGATTTAACATTTACCGTTACGTATATACTCTTTGGTATTAATTTTAAATTAATTAACATTCACGTTAATTCAGTTATCGTATTGGCACAATCTATTAAATATCACATCAAGTGAGAATCAATTTTTGGACGATTATAGTTCTAATATAATTCAATTATTTCAATAATATCTGTTTTTTTTCAATATTTATTTTATTTAAATAAATACTATAATTAATTTTCAAGTAATTAACATTTATATTCATTTAATTAATATTAATTAGAATTTCACATTCACATTCACATTCGTATCCATATCTTTGTTATTAATTCTCAATTAAATAACATTTACATTCATTTAATTACTATTAATTAGAATTTCAAATTTAAGGATGCAGTTCATTATTCACGTCCATGTATGCTAATTAGAATCAAGTTTCACTTAATTGAAAATTAAATTATATTCATATATAAATGATTTAACATTCATCACGTATATAAATTAATTAACATTCACGTTAATTCATGTATCGTAGTTGCCATTCATCTTCATTTATGTATTTAGTTGTAATTGTAATACTCACATTCAAGTATGCATTTCACTATTTATGTGCGTGTACAATACTTAACATTTATTTTTAAGGGCTTACATTTCTCTTATATTTAGGTCAGAAAGATAAATGAAGGGTCATATATTACTTTCACAATATTTATAAAACATTTCAAAATAACGTACAATGTACGTTCACTTTGACTAGATTGAACTTTGAAAAGTCTCCAAGTTACCATTGAATTTTTCCATCCCATTTGACATTGAATTTTAAAAGTTACTCCCATTCATCACTCGCCATTTTGAAAGGTAACTATTACATGGTAGATAGAATGATGGATGCG